ATGCTTATTTTTTTCAGCTAATAATGTTATATTTAAACATGTTTTGTATTTCAACTTGGAATTCTAAAAATATTGGTCTATGGTAGAGGGGGGGAAAAGGGAAATATTTATAAATATTTAATCTACTAATCATATTATCGTGCATGCACTAACATGCAATAAAAATGATACAAGAAGCTTTCATTAAATATGATAATTAATTAAAGTGTGAAAAATATGATAATTAATTAAAGTATGAAATTCGATACAAAAGAATTAGGCATAAAAAATGGCAGAAGATGTGAAAAACCAATTCAAGAGAAAGAGATAGAAATGTACAGTTTGCTGCTTACTGTTTGGAAAACAAGATTTATTGTTACTAAGTATCAAAATTTATAATAAAGTTTATCAACAGAAGGCGCTGCTAACTGGACATATACTGTATTCTTCTTCTCACTTGAATTAGTTAAGGTTTGCGATTTCTATATCTTTACTGACTAAGGTGAAAGGGGAGGAATATGAATGATGCTTTGCTTACATTAGACACTGAATTCAGGGATAAAAATAACAACTTTCAATGGGGAGAAAATTTTAAAATTTGTAAAGCAAATTGCATTATGAATAATAAATTAATTCTTACATAAGTGTGACGAAGTTGGAAAATTGGTATATTTTTGCTAACAAAGGGGCAGACGTCCAAAATCACATAAAATTTACTTCTATTTGAACGACTTTTGATTTAGTTATGAATAAATATTTGATTGTTTACTCACTAATTGTGAGGCTCACAATGTAAAACAAGCTGCAGAGTAAGTATCCATAAAGAAAAAAGAGAGTGGGAGACAATACGTGTTGCACTTCAATTATCAATGAATTCAATTTTGCCATGTGCAAAATACAGCATTTCAACAGAAAGGATCTTAACTCTGCATTCACATCACAATCCCTCACTTTGGAATCTAAATTGTTTTGCAAAAAACACACATACTTGCAGACGATGCAGATCAGAATTAAGCATAGCCCAGGCACCCCATACAAATTCAAAATGTACAAGATGTGAGTAATAAACACAAAACCATTGGCTTCATTATAAAATTTGGAGTCATTATTTACTTTTAAAGTAAATAAATATGCTTTCTTGAAGATTTCGAAACCGTTGGTTGATGTTAATTCAGAAACAGCTTTTGCTTCTGAAAGAAGCAAAATAAATACCAAACCAACAATGCCAAAAATAAAAAATATTTTTCCATTGTTCCGCTGAGTTTTTGAATGTTTCAATGACAGTATTGGTACCTTTTTTAAGGTACTTATTAGTTTTGATAAAGCAGATTTATATGCTAGGAGGACAAATCTTAATGCAAAACTGCAAGCTGTTGCTGATGTCTCGGAAAAGGATAGCATTAGTGGCACGTTTGGTTGTGATGCTTTATATATCCTAGCTAGTAAAGTGTAAAGAACAAATATGCTTACAATCCAGCTATAAATAATGAAAGACAGATCAAGTAATAATATTTTTCGACTGTTCTTAGATCGAGGTATATAAATTCCTAAAACTGAAAAGAATCTTAGAAGTACATGAATTTGAGAAAGATATGGATATGAATGAACGTGTTTGTGTCTGAAGGAGGATTCTCCATCCTTAAAATCAAAATGTATCCAATTATTATCTTTTGGAATCGGATTCATATCAGTTCATAGAGTAATATTTTTAAATTACCAGTATTGGGTACTAAATTTATAAAAACATTCTACTTTTCTTTGTACATCTGTTAGTTTGATAAACTGTCATTTTTAAGATAGTAAAAAATCTTTTGCTAATAGCGAGTATTTGGTATTGAATTACAAGTAATATTCTAGATATCTCTATGTTGCTTTTGGTTTGACGAGTAACAACTGCTGAAACTGCAAAATAAAATCATATAGAAGTCGGGAATTTGAGAAATGGAAAAATGAATTCGTTATTGAATTTTGATTCGAAAGACGTGTATCTAATTATTAATTCCTTAAAAATTAAAATGTATCCAATGAAAAAGAAAATGCAAATGATTCATAGAATCAAGTCTTTCGGACTCGATTTTGATCTAGTTTCATAATGACATAAAGATGATCTAGTTTCAGTTTGAATGCTGTATCTTCATCTTCAGAATCAAAATATATTCAATTTAGTATATCTTTTGGAATTGAATTCAAATATAATATTTTTAACAACAGTAAATTGAAAATATTTTGAATGTAAATTTCTTCCTTTTATCATCAATACCAATTTCTAAATTATAACTGCGATTTTAGAAATAAATTGTATTTGAAAAGTATATTTGTGAACTGAATTCAAAATCAAAGACCTTTCCATAATCTTCCAAACTTTTTAGTTATTATCTTTTGGAATCAATTTAATGCCAGTTCATAGATTTATATTTTTCGTATAAATAAGTAATGTTTCTGACAAGTATAATTTAGAGACGTTTCTCATTCTTTCAAATTTACCCAATTATTTTCTTTCGGAATAAATTTCATTCATTCATATTTTTGACAAATAATTGACTTTAAATGTCGTGTAAAATTTCAGATATTTTTCGTTCTTTTCCGGCACTTAAGAGCACAAAGAAATATTAGTAAACCAGTTTAAAAAATATATTCTTTGACAGGTTTCAAATTGAATTTCTACAAATTTGGAAACTACAAGGACAGAATGGGAAAAGCTTCTGAGGAAGGCCCAGGCTCACAAAGGGCTGTCGTGCCAATGCTGATGATGATGACAAATTTTACTAATTATTTGATTTTNGAATGAACGTGTTTGTGTCTGAAAGAGGATTCTCCATCCTTAAAATCAAAATGCATCCAATTGTTATCTTTTGGAATCGGATTCATGTCAATTCATAGAGTCACATTTTTTAATGACGAGTATTGGGTACTATATATCATGAATAATATATCATGAATACCAATTTCTGAATTATAACTAGGATTTTAGAAATAAATTATATTTGAAAAGTATATTTGTGAACTGAATTCAAATTAAAAAGCCTTTCCTTAATCATCAAAACTTTTTAGTTATTATCTTTTGGAATCAATTCAATGTCAGTTCATAGATTTAAATTTTTCGTTTGAATAAGTAATGTTACTGACAAGTATAATTTAGATGAATATTAAATTTTTTTACGTTTTAGAGACGTTTCTCGTTCTTTCAAATCTATCCAATTATTTTCTTTTGGAATAAATGTCATATAATTTCATCCATTCATATTTTGGACAAATAATTGACATTAAATGTCGTGTAAAAAAATTTCAGATATTTTTTCTTCTTTTCCTGCACTTAAGAACACAAAGAAATATTAGTAAACGAGTTTCAAATTGAATTTCTACAAATTTTACTATTAAGCTGATTGTTAATTTTCTACTAATTGAAAACTTCACTTCTATTTTCAAAATATATCCATTTATTTCCTTTAGCGATCTTCTTTAATCAAATTAATTATTAATAACGAATAGCTGTATCGTTCATCAAAAATTATAAATTCTTTTAAGAAAATGTTATAGAAATGCGTACTCCTGAAACAATACGTTCCTGTTCACGATACGTTCCTGTTCCTGTTAAACTCCTGTTCACGAAAACGTGAATTTGAAACAGGCTACGAATTGAACATAAATTATTTCTGACACATTGGAAAGTCAAATTCACTTTTCATAAAATTAAATCTTTAAAATACACTTAGAACAGGATCAAATTTCAGCGTGATTTGATTTTTCCGACTTCGATATTCGAGAGAAAATGTTATCGTTTGCAAAAATATTTTTAATGATCGAAATAAGCATAGCGTGCACAAAGCTATCTGTAAAACAATAGAATTATTTTATTCATGTTATGAAGTGTAACAATGTCAGATCATTAATTTTTCATCAGCGCATGTAGTTATTTGTATGGAAATTAACTACCCACGCAAAACTTGTTCATCTTGTTTCGTTTGTTATCTAGTTTTTTCTTTCGTGTTTCAGACGTTAAAATCGAATAAGTTGTCAAAATTAAAATATTATTAGCATTATTTCTCGCATACTCCAGGGGGCTGGTCTCTTAGAAATTGATTGCCACACTATTCATTTAATAAAAAAATGCATTTGTCGTTTGGTTTCATTTGTTATTCCTAAAAATAAAGTTATTTTCGTGGAATACTTTATTAGTTTACTAATTTTTCGCATTGAATCATAAAATTAAATCAATGGATATTATGTAAAATTTGTTTCGATTTTTCTCTTTATTTAGATAATATAGTTTTGTAAAGATAGCCAAGTAATAAAAACAATCCGTTTTTATTTTTAATACATATTTTTTATATTTTATTTAATTCAAATAAAACATATGTGGTGTTAGTTTTTAAAAAATTTTCAAGTTTTGAATTATTGAAAGCATATTGTAACGTACTTTTTATGCAAACGTGAATCTTTATTGTTATTTAAATATTAGAGAAGAGATGTATTTTGCTAAAGTATGGCACTACACTGTACTATTACAATTATTGTATTTTTATTTATTAACTTTTCCGAAGTTTTATAATCTGAAAAATAATGTATTATGTTGGTTCTTATCATAAAACTACTTTTTCCGATTTAGACGTTTTTAATAAACTAATAGATAATCGTAATCTCCGTATAGTAGAAGTATTTAATCTGTCTATTTTTGAATTTTCTATAATCTCAGAAGATTAAATTTTCGAAAGAGGGAATATTTTCTCTTAATTTCTTCCATTATTGTAATTTTTCCTATTATAAAACCAAACTTATGTTTATATTTTAATATAATTTTAAAACTTTTTAATAGGACCACAGTACTTGTTTATTTAGAGCCGTAATACATACTTAAAATTTCGTTTACTCTATAAAAGTAATAATTCATTTCTAATAATTATTCCGTAAAATTTAATTTCGATTTACAAGTTTCATGTAGGATAATTAATATAGATAGGATAATTTTGCTTACCAAAAATACGTCCCTAAATACATATAAAATAAATAAAAAATTTAAACGGTTTGCAAGGAAAAAAAACGATATTTTATGTGAAAATAATTTTTTGTTTTGTACAGTAACTAATGAATAAACATGCAAAAATCAGTGCAATTGTTGATATAAATAGTGTGAACAAAATGTATCTTTCATCCAGTTGCTTTATTCGATTTCTGAGCATATTTCTCCTCCTTTGGAACTCTTCCTAAGAAGAAAAAAGAAGAAAAGAAAAAAAAGAAAGCAATATCATTTTCTTTGAATCAAATAAAACATACCAATAATACAACTATTTCGTTCTTTATTATTTTATTTAAATTAAAACACAATCAAAAGAGAAAAATGTTCAAAAATTTAACATTAGCTATTATTTAATTTAAAATTATTGTTTGTACGTGTTTAAAATGGTTTTAATGGTTCTGAATAGTCTAAGTATATCGTAAAATACTCATGATCTTATTATACAACATACTAAATGTGTCTTTTTAGAATCATGGTTTCTAAAATGGAATCAAACTTGTACACACATGAGGGATCATATATTAATATTTAAATGACGAAAAATTAAAATACTATCAAAATCTAACGAATCACTACTTAAGAAGACAGCACTGAAAATGATAGAAGAAAACAGGAGTTAAAAGGCAAATACTCGAAACATCGCTAAGCTTAATCAACAAATCAAACTAGTTATAACTTTTTTATTATTTTATCCTGTCTTCTTATTCGAAAGATTTCGATAGCGATTTTGTTTCGTCCTTGCTTAAATACTTATTTGCTATTCCCAACTAAGAATACTTATTTTTTATTTCAATTTTGACAAGGAATCTAAATTAAGGGGAACATCATGTGTAACTATCCGATATTCATGTACTTAGTTCCTATCTTAAAAGCTGAATAAGTACTAAATTAAAACTAAAGTACTATAGTAAACTAATTTAAATACTGTTTATTTTAATTTTTTTGTCGTATGCCTGTATAAGCAGTGGGAGTGCGATTGTTCCTGTTTCTCAGTGGCGCCATCTATGGCCAGGAATTCGACTTCTGCCACGCTATTCACACAACCACAACCCGTTTATAAGGCGGGTCACATTCACACACAAAGGAGAGAAAGAAACATCCATGCCTTGCCCGAGATTCGAACCCAAGACCTTTCTGATGCAAAGACAGTTCCCTGCCCCCTACACTGGCCGGTGGGAGCTTATTTCAAATAATTTAATTAATAAGTTGTAACTGTTAATTAAATTTCAAAAAATCTGGCATATTATCGCATTTTTTCTGAAACAACATACTTTTGTTGATGGATTTAGACTTTTAGTCTTCAAAAGCTAGTTTTAAAGTTAAAGTGGAAAGAAATATAGAAAATTTGAAGGAATCAGAACATAAAAATTTATTAAAATATACTTGCCTTGATTCGGGAAATCGGTAAATCTGTTAGTTCAGACAATTTCAGAAGCTCAACACCATTTGGATATGGGCACAATTTATAACTTAAATCAATTTCCGGATATTCAAAATGCGCATCATGCTGCTTCGGCTCTAAATTTGCGAGTGTATCTGAAAAAATAAGCAAATCTAAATAAGATTTTATTTTTTATTATTCTTAGTCAATGTGGGGAGAGTAGATATCGACAATGTCAACCTTACAGTACTTCCCCGCCAGAATTTTATCTGTGATCGAATTCGATGAACGGATACCACTAGTTGATTCATTGCTGTTTTTGTGAGAAGCCGGGAGAGCTGTATGAAGATCACCGGACTTTTTAAATGCTGATACAGAGGGAGGAGGTGGACAATGTCGCAGTCACAAGTAGCAAGTCAACTCTTTAATGGAGAACTCATCGAAGTAGGCGTGTTAAAATCGAAGTGGGTGTTTTTGTCAAGGTAGGCGTGTGCACATCACGCCCGGGTCGTTAAATGTGGGGAGAGTAGACATCGACAATGTCAACCTTATTTTAGGAAAAAGGTACCCCATCATAGAATCGGGTTAACATGTCTTATATACTAGTGAATGGGAATTATATTTTTGTAGTGGTTCTTACATTACAGTCAGCATAACACAGGATATTTATGAAATACAAATATAAAGCCTGTTTTTCTAATAGGGAAGTGCTTAAAATTCCAACATTTAATGGAGGAAAGAGTAGGGTGAGGCCAACTCGATCGAGTAGAAATTAGTTATATTTCTTAGCGGACACTTTACTAATCACGAAGATGGACCTACCATATTTGCGTGTTGTTGTTGAATAGTTCAAGGCGCCAGGGTAGATATGTTTGTTTAACTACCTATGTGATGTCAGCTGTTCTGTATGTTGATGTTCTTAACTAATGTTCTTAACTACCGAGGTATGACTCGGTTAGTTTGAAATACCACACTAAGTACCCTAGTTCAGTGGTCGGCAAAGTGCGGCTCCGGAGCCGCATGTGGCTCTTTGGCTCCTTAAGTGCGGCTCTGGCACAAATGTCTACGGAAGGCGCAATAATATTTTCATTTAAAAAAAAACTTGTTAAGAAAAAAGATTACATCTTATTTTGATAAATTAAAATTCTTCTATGAATCGAGAACATGTATAATTTTTTGTTTAAATTAAAAGATAGATAGGTAATTAAAATTTTATATTGTAGTAAAAATTGGTAACGAACATCGAGTTAAAGTTTATTAGTTTTCGTAAACGTAAACACAAACCATGTACAAGCTACAGGNCCATTCGACCAATATTCTGGTATTTGCTCTTAGGTACAAAAAGGTTGGGGACTACTGCCTTATATACTAGTGAATGGGAATTATATTTTTGTAGTGGTAGATACACTACAGTACTCCTCCACCAGAATTTTATCTTCGATCGGATTCGATGAACGGATACCACTAGTTGATTCATTGCTGTTTTTGTGAGAAGCCGGGAGTGCTGTATGAAGATCACCGGACTTTTTAAATGCTGATACAGAGTGAGGAGGTGAACAATGTCGCAGTCACAAGTAAAATTCAACTGTTCAATGGAGAACTCATCGAAGTAGGCGTGTTCAAATCGAAGTGGGCGTTTTTTGTCAAGGTCGGCGTGTGCACATCACGTCCGGGTCGCCAATGAGGGGAGAGTAGACATCGACAATGTCAACCTTATTTTAGGAAAAAGGTACCCCATCATAGAATCGGGTTAACATGTCTTATATACTAGTGAAGGGGAATTATATTTTTGTAGTGGTTGATACACTACAGTCAACATAAAACAGCTCACAGGATACTTATGAAATACAAATATAAAGCTGCATTTTCTGACCGGGAAGGGCTTAAAATTCCAACATTTTATGGAGGAAAGAGTAGGGTGAGGCCAGGTAACTCGATCGAGTAGAAATTAGTTATATTTTTTAGAGGACACTTTACTAATCAAGAAAATGGACCTACCATATTTGCGTATTGTTGAATAGTTCAAGGCACCAGGGTAGATATGTTTGTTTAACTACCTATGTCAGCTGTTCTGCATGTTGATGTTCTTAACTAATGTTCTTAACTACCGAGGTAAGACTCGGTTAGTTTGAAATACCACACTAAGTACCCTGGTTGACCGAGTAATTTAACTTTTTTCTAGAAAAAAAATAATTTATAAAAAAAAAGTAGTACATCTACGACTTTTCAGGAATTATATATTATACACAACTAAACAATGAATATCTTGATTAAATATGACAATTTATAGATCGAACAGTTAAGTTCCAACAGGCCTTCGAATCTTAACTAATCGGTCTTACCCCTCTTTTCCCACTACATTTTTTTTATTTTGTCGCAGTAACTGATTGTTTCTCATTACATTATTTTAAATGTCTCTTAATTAGAACGGCTTTTAAGTAAGGTATTTCCCATTTAACCTTAAGTCATCACATAGTTTTGCACTAAATAAAAAAAAAACTTATTATAAAATGCAGAAAGACTTAAAAGAATGCATACTGAACATAGAACTTTTATTTTTTAACAAACTTTTTAAAAGAAGTGGCAATATGTAAAAAATGGCAGAAATAAATTGCAATTAATAAAACTTGAAAAATTTTCAAAAAAACAAAAAACAAAATAGAGATTTTATTGGAAAACCAGTGAAACTCCGTTTTCCTAGGAACCTCCTTTAGTCCAGGCTATCGAGCTCAAAAATGAATATTACTTGGAAAAATTGCAGGGCCTTTTATTTTTTGTATACTTATGTTCTTTTTTTTTCTTTTTTTGTGCGCTCGAACACGAATCAGCATTTTGTGACCAAAATATTTTTCGAAAATACGATTTTTTCCAGGAAAAATCCAGTTTTTTTTGGCATATAATTTTTTTATGGTTTAAAATAGAAAATTTCTGATGGCATATTTGAAAACTAGAGAAAATTTTATGCCAATTCTATCGCTACAATGTGCTCCTAAGGTAATAAATTAAAGAGCTATAAGTATGGCTATAGTATATAATGACTATAGTATATAGTGCTATATGATATATAATCTTGTATGGCTTATTATACAGTATATAATGCTATATGGCTATAGTATATAATGACTATAGTATTGGATTGATAATTTTCTCTCTCTACTACAACGCCGAAAACTAGAGGAGAGTTTTGAAATTTACAAAAATTATCGTTTGAGACCTAATAATATACAAAAAAAAATTACTGCCAGAGGGGAATACTCCTCAGGCAATTTACTTCAGTACTTCACTTCCCTCAATCCCTGACAACACCAAAAATTTTTCTTAAACCTTTCCCAAAATCATAATTTTAAAAGAGTCTTTTTCATTTTTAATTTTTTGGTTTTCTTCCTGAATTTTTACTCAATTTAGACTTCTAACAACACCCTTGTTTGTTTTCACATCTCCATCATTAATATCGCTCATTTGGTGAAACAATGACGTATATATTATACATAAAACTGCAAAATGAACTTAAATAGAGTAATTATCAGTTACGTCATTGCAAAATCAACCTAAATAGAGTAATTATCAGTTACGTCATTGTTTCACCAAATGAGCGATATATTCTCTTGAGAAGAGGGTTTACTCCCTAACACCCGAAAACCATTTTCAGCATAACTATGATTTTCCTAAAACCTTTCCGAAAATCATGATTGATTTGGGTTTTTTTTTTAAATTTTCATGAACATAAGTTTGTAATATTAGTTTTTCTTCAAATTTATATTTGTTCTAAGTAACAAAGATTGTGCCCCTCCTCATCCCATAAAATCAAAATTCTTAAGGCATTCCTCATTTAATAATGATTTTTTTTTTTTTTTTTAAGCATTCAAAATGACTCCGAACATTTTGATGCGAATAAAGTTACATAAACAAAAATAACTATCTAACAAAGTGAGAAATGCATTCTGGCAATATTATATGACAATGTATTCTATGAAGTGTATATTTTAACAGTATATAATAAACATGAATTCTAAAACAATATTTCAATACTGTTAATTTATTATCTCCCCTTTTTTGGAAGCGTGCAAAACTTCTCTCACAGAAAACAATATCGTATGAAAATCCCAGAACGTAATATCATATGAAATTGCGTTCTGGAAGTTTCTATATTTTTTTGCATTCATTATATTTTTTCAGTATAAAAAACATAAATTCTAAACTGATATTTTAAATTCTAAACTAATTTTTCTTTTATTACTTCACTTTTTCTGTACCATACAAAACTCTTCTCCTAAACCTTAGTAGACAAACATAAATTCTAAAATGATATTTTTAATACAATAAATAATTTTTATTTCATCAGTTTGTTTTTTCTGTCCTGCGCACAACATCCTTCCTTTAACGTTAAGGTGAGTAATTTTTGCTTATATATTCTTATAGTATGAAAAACATAAATTCTAAAATAATTTTTTTAAATACCATGAACAATTTTATTACCTCTCTTTCTCTGTCCTGAACAGAACTTCCTTCCCAGAACGAAAGATCGTTTTGGCAACTTATTACAATGGGAAGATTTCATTTTTCTTTAATTTTAATTCGTCATTTGAAACTCGAACTCCAACCACGTCAAAGCACTCTTTGTAAACATTCAAAGAAAAAATAAGGTGTGAGCAGCTACGACTGTGTGATGACGCGAACATGTGCATTTGAATTTCGTTCATCGTATTCTAAACTCGCAATGGAGCGCTCGTCAACTAGCGAAAATTTATAAATTATCGTTTGCTATTTTTAATGTATCATAATTGGGTAAAGGTTGCCGTTTCTATTGTCTAATTCGCAATGACACATTTATCTGTGAGATAGAGAAATCGACAATGATAAGAATGTTCTTGAACTAAATGCAAACAAGACTCAAAGTTTCGATTTTCAAAGCAAAAAACTACTTAAAAAGACACTCCATATATAGTAAAGTTGTTGAAACAATATTCCACCTATGAGCGCTACAAATTCAAAACGCGGGGCAAACTTATGATAATTTTAATTGGAATGGTAAATGAATGTTAATTTATTATTATTATTGTTTTTAAATATTATGCTTATTTTAATTGAGCGGTTTTAAATTACAACTTAATATTCTTTACTTTTACTAAGCAGTAACTAGTAGATAAATAAAATTTTAATTGCTTCGGTTTTTATAAAATTATTTTATAATTATACTTATAAATGATTATTAAATTCTCAGTTTAAGAAATTTAAAAAGATAGTGTCATTTGTTCTTCATAATTTTTCTTTAAAAATTTAAATGTGCTCTTTAAACACTATCCTTGACTTTGTGAAAGACTGTATCAAAACCTCCCTTTGGAATCCTTATCAAAATAGCATTGATAAATACCTTGACAGAGATCATAAACGAATATTGAAACTAAATAAAAATAGTGATGACCCTTGGAACAGAAGTTAGTTTTAAACTAGTAAGCAAATATCTAAAGTCTAAATGGAAAGAGCACATTCTGAAGTACTGGAACCATACGCGTAGCGTTGGGAGGGGGGGGGGCGCGAGCCCCCTCAATAATTTTTTAAAACTTCAGATTTTCTTCCTTTTTTTAAAAAGAAACTAAAAATAAACTGTTATTAGCTTAAAAAAATAATTATTTAGATAATTTATCAATAATTTAACAAAATAATTCTATGTTTAGCACTTTTATGTAAATGATATCTTAAAAATCATTTAATGATTTTTTTTAAAAAAATATTTCGATTATTATACTTAATGATTTCAGAATTATTTTATAATAGTGATTTCTAGTTAGTTATTTATGCTGCATAAAATTTTTTAAACATATCTATTAACATAGTGTTGTAGCAACCACAATGCCATCTGAACAGACAGTAGATGCGCTGACTTTGGACAGAGCGGACATTACTTTTCCTCTCTTCTCGTAATTATTCAAATTTATGTTTGTCCGTGTGCTATTTGTTATTAATAAAAATATTTGGCTCTAAGATTTTCTTTATTTCAACCTCCCGAGCTCTAGCCAGGGCCACAGTGTAATAATTTTTAGATATGCTACTTACTTTTTGTAACTGTCGAAAGTTTTTAGTATCATTTTAACTTATTTTTGTCTTATAGCATTAAACAACTTCTAGCTAGTTTGGAACTCTGAATTTACATTCTAATTTGCTCCAAACATTAATTTCTAGGTATAATTTAATAGAATACATTTGTTTCATATTGATATAATTTTTATCCAATAAGTTCTATTGCATACGAAAAATTCTTTTTTCATAACTGATGAATTTTAAATTTAGCGAGTTCGAATTTTTGGTATGTTTCAGTAGAAAGCGTTCTAAATTATTTTATTTGATTAGCAAACAACTTTTGAAAACCTAGCTCTGGACTTGAAAAAACGGTTTGCAATAAATGCTTAAAAATATTTTTTAAAAAAAATGGCATGTTGCGCATTGTAAAAACGCTATACTTTTGGAATATAAGCGAATCTCATATCTAGGAATAACACTGTCAAATTTTTAATAAAGTACATTATGGTGGATCTGATTTTCTCATAATCTTCCGGGTAATAGTTAAAAACGAACTAAATCTGTAAAAACTTTTTTACGTTTAAAGCAATCTGGGTAAAGCGAACATCAATCTAATTACAAGCCTAGACCAATTTTATTTTTACAACTCTCTTATTAAAAATATATTTTGTGACAATTAGGTTTGGATTGTCTTAAATTTTGTACTATTTTCCTATAGCAACTGTACGTTTCAAAATTAAAATGGAACATAGTTCTTTTAGGAACAATTACATAATATTTACTTAGGGTAAATAAAATAAAAAAGTCTGGGAATAAAAAGCTTAAATAACTAATATATCAAAATGAATTTATAATTATTTAAAAGTACATTTAGGAACCGAAAAAAATCGAGTTTTTATGTTATCATCCCTTGAAATGGAAATGTGGTGCGAAAAAAAAAAAAATAACGAACTACCCTGAATAATTTGATAATAAAGTAATAACTAATAACTAGCGGTGTAATTGAATTCGAATGATCCGACCTTCACGTACTAGGACTCAATCTAAACATAGAAAAAATAAAACTGATGTTAAGGGGTCCTAACTTCGGATCTCTCTCCTGATCAAAACATAGGGATTATATCTCTCCGATTGCAACTGTCCCCTATATTCTGAGAGTCAGAAACCCAACCTTTTTTTCTTTCTTTTTTTTTTTTAAACTCTGAACTAAATCTTTATTTTATGTTTTTGAGATTTAACCACTTGTAATTTACGCCCATAAATAGTTACATTTCATCTTGCAGTTATTCCACTTCATAAAACCAGTTTTTCAATGGTATTAAGATATTAAAATATTGCTTTTCAGAGAAGAGAACTTTTAATAAGTATTTTTTTTAAATTCAAGGTTGGGGGTTTAATTATATCCATCATAAAAAAATATTTGTTTAAGAAAATAAGCATAAATTGCTGCTTATTTTAGAAAAAACATCACACATAATCTAAAAAGTCATTTTAATCGTAACGACTTCTAACTAGCACAGAAATTTGCAGTGGAAAGCAGGAGCATCGTATGTNTTCTCCCAAGTTTTTCGTAGGCCCCTGAATTTCGTAGGCCCTAGGCACGTGCCTAGTGTGCCTATAGGATAATCCGGCCGTGAACCATAGGGATTATATCTCTCCGATTGCGACTGTCCCCTATATTCTGAAAGTCAGAAACCCAACCTTTTTTTTTTTTTTTTTTTTTTTTTTTTTTTTTTTTTTTTNTTTTTTTTTTTTTTTTTTAAAACTCTGGCCTAAATCTTTATTTTATGTTTTTGAGATTTAACCACTTGCAATTTACGCCCATAAATAGTTACATTCCATCTTGCAGTTACTCCGCTTCATAAAACCAGTTTTTCAATGGTATTAAGATATTAAAATATTGTTTTGGGAAGATTTATTATATTTGTTCATTAACGAAGCCGTTAGGGGGTTAAAAGAAGAAACAAATTACAGCTGATTCTGTATTCCAGCTGCTTTTCAGAGAAGAGAACTTTTAATAAGTATTTTTTTAAAATTCAAGGTTAGGGGTTTAATTATATCCATCATAAAAAAATATTTGTTTAAGAAAATAAGCATAAATTGCTGCTTATTTTAGAAAAAACATCACACATAATCTAAAAAGTCATTTTAATCGTAACGACTTCTAACTAGCACAGAAATTTGCAGTGGAAAGCAGGAACATCGTATGTTAGATAAAGAACTTGGTTTCTAACCAAGGGGGCATGAGTTTTGATTTCAAAATTTTATACTGATAATTATTGTCATATATTTCCGGCACTGTTATTATTGTCATCAATTCAATGTTACAAAAAGTGAAAATTATTATTTTAAGTAAGGTAACCAGACACTCTCAGATCTTGAGGACAGTTCTCGAATTTCATTGATAGTTCTCAAAATTTTAATAACACATTGAGGATAGAAAATGTGCCCAAATTTTAACATGTATTCTCAAATGTTCTCGAATTTCTCCTAAAAAAATAATCTTTTTTTTATATGCAGATTTGTAACTTATTACATATGATGAGTAAGAGAAATGATGTAAATTACATATTTTTTTAAATATAACCATGTCACATCAATTGTATCAGATTGTGTCAACGTTCAACGTCACCAATGGAACTGAGCAACTATGGAACCACGGCATAGCCAGAATACGCTTCAAAAAGCAAAATATTTTAATAAATTCTAAAACACAAACGCTCAAAAAAGGAAGAAAAATTTTTTTTTTTGAGCACACTCGTGTATTTTCCTCCTGTAAGATAATTAAGTATGTGAAAAAATCTTAATGAGCCATTATTTTGCGAATATAAAGTATAACATATAATTCTTCTTTCTACAAGCGCGAACATAGCACGTACTCTCGTGCATAGCACGTGCGCTCATAGCACGTACTCTCGTACATAGCACGTGCGCTTTACATAGCACGTACTCTCCTACGGAGAGTACGTGCTATGTAAAGTTTACTACTTTTGTTCGGGGTATAGATCCTATACCATGGTAACTGGCTACTTCCCCACTGGTACTTGGTTCGGTCCCTGCTAGTTAAATTTTAAGAAACATTCACATTGAATGATATTCTTCTTTTTTACATGAGAACTAGAACATGATTGGCGAGTTTTTCGCGGATAAATATTTTCTCCCAATCAAGCTCTTGTTCATATTCGGGGTGAATGTTCCTTTCGGTAAGTTGATTGAAAAGTTTATCATTTTCGGAATCAGATTGGCCGAAAAAGTCAATCTTCTTGGTTTACGGAAACTGTAATGCTCGAGCCTGAAATTTGTTGTTGTTGTCGTTCATTTTACGTCGCAATAGAGCTGCAAAATGGGCTATAAGCGACCGTTTGGGAAACGAGGACCAATATCGCTCACTCCCTACATAGACTGATTCAAGTGGTTACCCACCCGCACCGTGTCTATGTTACGAGCCGTGTCTTAATGATCAATCCACGGCGGGACCCACCGAAGTCAAGCACCACTGATTGCGGTCAGTGTGCGGTTGGGTGACTACTTGGATCACTCTGCTTAGGGACCGAGGGTGTGCGGCATCGGTTCTCGTTAAACTGTTCTACAGTAAAGTGCTCTACTTCAAGAGCAGGTCATCGGGCTACCAAGTCCGTCCATCTGTATAGCCATCCAGACCGTCACCAATAGCCCATTGAGCAGCTCTAGCGACGTAACTGAACTACTAGAACAAGAACCACTGCGAGACAAGAAAATTTCAACTTACGGCAAAATATTGCATACAATCATCTCTTACTTTGCAGAGGATTTAACTTGCAACTCACACGTAGTTTTATTTCAATGTTGCCACTAAATTAGATAATTTTTGATTTCCGGTATTTTTCTTCATAGAAATTTTTGTTTTAAGTTATAATTAAATTCTGAAGCTCATTTCGATTATCCTTTTACTATCATAAGGAAGTTAAAATTGTAATAAATCTGAATAACTTTTAATTCCCATTTTTTTTAGTAGTAAAAGTTGTTTTTCCTTCTTGGATGTTTCCACCGGAAACGGAAAATGTTATGATGTCACAATAGTTTGTCAACGCCCAGTTATCATCACTGTCTCTTGTTAGGGACAGCAATAAATCTAAGTCAAAGTTGTGGAAGTTCCAAAGGAATCTCTTCGGTAACATATAATTTGCAAATTATAGTTTATTTATCAAAACATTAGCTATTTTTTTGTCAATATATATTTGAAAATGTACACCTTTTTTTATAGCAAAACACCGATGTCGGTGTTGTAATATCCAATATGGCGGTGTAACGAAATAAAACAAGCAGATAGCTGTAAACATTGCAATATTAATTCGTACAATCCATAAACATTTACAATTCAGAATTACATGTTTCCCATTTATCTCATCAGTAATTTTTTCTTTGGATAAGTTGTGTCCTTATTATAAACTATCTCTGAACAGCCTTCGTTAATAACACTAAGAAGGAAATGAGCTTCCGATCATATGTTATTAATGTTTGCTTTTCCTTAACAAATACTGTAACTGTACTAAATTTCATAAGGCTCTTCACTGTAGACTTCAAGTTATACATTGCTTTAATTAACATGTTGCAAGAATTGATGCTTTTATGTATTTACGCACTTAATGCTCAGTACATCTGCGTTGCATTGAATGTTTGATAGTGTATTGAAACATTTTGACATGATTTTCTTTTAATGCCGTTATACATTTATTCATTATCCTACATATTTTAATATCAAAGCCTAGTTATATATGATACATTAGTAACATTTTGAGTTCCATCATATAGGATTATAAGTTATTTCTACGTAAATTTTACTATATTTAAAGTATTGGTATCTAACCTAAGGTCTTAGTTTTTTTTTGTTCTAATAGTTAAAATATTATGTGAAAATAAGATTTTCTACTGCTAACGCATTCTTTTAATTATTAGTTTCATAAGGGCAATGTAAAATGATTTCCTTTAAGGTTTGTAAGAATTAAGATAAATAAAACTTCGTGTAACACAATTTTTTGTATTGCTCTAATAAAACTGATAAATATAGGTTATTTGGACATTTTTAGCATGTAGGTATATGATGTGCTAAGTTCTCACTTAATACATACACAAGATGATTAAAAAGAATTACAAAGTTTAATGCTCTATCAAACTTTTATGTTAAATTATAATTGTTTAGACCGTTAAACATCTAGTTGATTTCGTTTTCAAGGTCAAATATCAGTATTCCTCCCATAGCTGAAAACTAAACAAAAAATTATGTGTTTAACCACATAAAAATTTATAAGTTTGAAAGTTGTAAAAAGATTTGATCCTCAGGAAGTTTTTTTATTACAAATAAGTCATAGCTTTCAATTTAAACATATATAGAAAACTTATAACATAATCACTGTTTACATAAACGAAAACAGAGCTCTGCCTAGGAACGATAAAGGGCAGGACACTTCATGGCAGAATAGGACATTTTGAGTTTTAAAAGGGCATTCACTTAACACCTTAAATTTTTTTTTCTAAAAAGTAAACTAAAAACGAAATTGATAAACAACTGGAAAGCTTTTTCTTGCAATTTAAATGGAAAATGTTGACAAAATAAATATTTAAAGATTCCTTTTTTTTTTCTTTAAAAAGAAGGTATTTAAAATCACTTAAAAAAAGTTATTAATATACTATAAAAAAAAAGTGACAGTTATAAAAATTTGTCCAGTTGAGAATTATCCTGACAAAATAAATAGCTATAATCAGAGTTGAACCTATAAGCAGAGAAAATTTTACCAGAGTGTAGTTATTTAAATAGTGAATAATTTTTTTTAAAAATGGAATACAAATAAATAAGCTATGTTTTTTAGGAATGGCTGTTTATTTTTACAAAAAGATCTAAGAGGATACATGAAAGGGCAGGTAGGATGGGCCGCCATTCTAAAAATAGTTAGTACACTAACTAAAACCTATCTGGCTATGGCGAAAATGTGTAGCCTGTAGTTTTAGTGTTGGTATAATAACTGTGGAGCTAAATTTTAAACATGTTAATACACTGTAGTTCAGTAATGAGATAAACAAGAACAGATGTTTTTTCTAAATTGATTGTATATTTTATTTACTGTACCATAATAAGGATTTATAATAAATGTTGTGTAGAATAATTTTTCTTGCATGCTAAATGCTGTTTATGTAATATCTCATTATTATTGATTGTTTAATTTTAATCAGGCAGCCACGCTGGTCCTGGCACATTGTCCTGAAGAGAATCTGAATTATGCAGACCATAAAGTGTGTAGTTGTGGGTGATGGAGCAGTTGGTAAAACTTGTTTGTTGATATCCTATACTACAAACAAGTTCCCTTCAGAATATGTTCCCACTGTAAGTTCTATTTTCACACTTATTTTTATGTTCATCAGTCAATAATTTTTCTCTTGAAATCATCAGTTTCCTTTTATCTATTGTGTAATAATAAAATTAATGCTTTTTGTAATGATAATAAATGCTTTTGTAAGGGACTTAGAACAATAAAATACTATTGTGAAAATTGCTGGCTTACAATTTTCTGTATGGACAAAACTTTTGCTGTGAAGTAATCAGGGTTGGGTTTTTGACGTCAAAGTGGTTTTTGACATGACAAGGGTATAATACTGGTTTAAACTGTCAAAAACCCGTCAAAAATGTCAAAAACTGAAGTTCGCCAAGAAAATATATAAACTTCAAAACTACCAACAGTTGCCATGCATTATATTGAAATTTAATTATACTATAGGTAATCAGCAGGTTTTAAAATATTTTTTAATTAAAATTAAGGTAAAATAACAGATTTAAAATCTCAGAAATTTATATTCAAATGCATGTGCA